TGTTATTTCTTCTTTTATACTATTAAATATATTTTTATCATTTATATCATTAGATTCTTCTGGTGTAAAAATTGGTTTTTGTGGTGAAATTGGAACAATTGGTTGTTGAGGAAATAAAATCGGTTGTTGAATTGATTGTTGAATAAAAGGTTGTCCTGCTTTTTCAATTATTGTAAGCATTAAATATTTGTTTATTTCTTCTTTTTTGATTTTTATAATATTTTGTTCTTTATATTTTTTAACACAACAATTAATATAATCTTTAAAATTATAAACACATTTGCAATTTTGTAATTTAATCATTTTGTTTTTTATTTGTAAAAAAAGAGAAAAATATTTGTATTTATATTTATTATAAAATTAATAAAAAATAAAATAAAATAAAATATTATATTAAAAAATTAAATTTCCTGTTCTTCTTCTTCTCCCTTAACTTTTAATTTATCCATTATTTGAGTTGTAACCAATTGAGAAAATGTTTGAATACTACTAACTTGTGTTAAATCTGGGTAATATGCTATTTCAATATTTCCACCTGAAATAAAAACTGGATAACCAGAATCATATTGACCATGTGGAGTTCCCAACTTAATTTTTTCATTTATAGGCATATCAATTCTAAAACGTCCTTAATATATCCAATCCGAATAATTAATTACCATTATCAATCTATAATTAGCGGTATCATAAACTATATTTTCATCTGTGTTACTAGATATTTCACATGTTTTCTGTTCTTCTTTTAAAAATTTTCTACACATTACTATTTCATGTTCATTAAAAACACATTCTGTTGAACAATTAATTTGTACACTATATTGTAATAATATATCATAATTATCTTTCAACTGATGATTTTTTATATCTTTAGGTTGTTTCAAAACATCTTCTATTGTTAAATTGTTTTTTTTTGCTGTTTCAAGATCACATACTCTAACAAGATAAAGATCAATCTTAAAGGGTGACACTAATTTTGTTAAAGTTATATCATTTGAAAGTTGATAAGTTGAATCTAAAGTAAATAGATGATAAGAAACGAGTTTCAAATATAAAGAAAAATCTAATAGATTTAAAAATTTAAAACTTTTCTCTTCTTGTAACAAATTATATATATAAAATCTTTTATCGAGAGCAACAAATCCTCCATCACTAAAATCAATTTTATCAATTAATGAACCGGGTGGTCTAATATTTCCACATGCGTTATAATCAGTAATATTTTCACATGTTCCTACCGAACATATTGTTTTTCTTTTTTTTGTTGTCATATTATCTGATATTTACGTTCACGACCAATACAATTTGGTTTTGATGTAACTTTAGATATTGTTTTTTTAGATGATTTTTTTGTTTGAACTTTTTCTTTTCGATTCAATTTTGGTTTATTTGGTATTTTTTTCTCTTTTGGTTTAAATTCTTTTTTCTTTCTTTTTGCCAGTTTGATTAAATGTTTTTGATTGTTTTTATTATTTCCTTTAAAATTTGACAAACCAATATAATGATAGAATCGAAAAATAAATTATAATTTGGTTGATATATAGAATGTATAATTGATATTTCAATTATTATTGATAAAAATAAAAAAATGCTAACTAATAAAAATGTAATCTTCCATAAAAAAGAAGCTTCCATTAAAAAAAAAGAAAATGAATAATGAGACTATTTATACTATTTATGAAATTCTTCCTTTAGCTTTACTTCTTCTAGAATTATCATCATCACTATCTTCTTCTCATTTTCTACGAGCTCCAGCAATTGCATCTGGAATACCAGATGGTAAATCTGTTCCTGACACTACATTAGATTTAATCCATTCTGCAAATATTATTGCTAAATATTCTTCTGTTTTACTTCTATACTGAAAATAATTATTATCTTCTGAATTAGTTGAAATAAAACTGTTTCATCTGTCATCTAAATTTTTTGCATCATTAATTGTTGTAGCCGCAAGAAAACCACTATATATTTGTTGAAACATCCATCTAACATAATTTAATTTTCTTACTATTACATCTTCTTCTTTTTTATATGGTATAATCTCATTGATTATTAATATATTTTGAGTATATTCATAAGTTATTTGTGGATTCGTGGGAACTCTTTCTAATATTTTTTTATAATACAATATCATACAGTATAATTGAGTCATCTGTTGATAATTATTTGGTAATATACTCTAATCAAAATGTTGTATCACTTGATTCCAATTATTTCTATCTTCAAGGTTATTAATATTCGTTTCATCTTTCATACTCTTTAATATTCTTATCCACTCATTGTATTTTTCTTGTTGTCTTTCTCTTGCTGAATCAAAATTTATAGGTTGAATCGTTCCAAAAGTAACACCTACCATGTCTTCAACAACATTTAATTTTGGAAATTCTACTTCCATTTTTTCATCTGGTTCTTCTTTAATAATAGGTATTTTTGGAATTTTATTTTTTGATAAATCAGGAAAATTATCTGCTATAGAAGATATTACACCAAATAACATCATTTGATATAACTTCAAATCTGAAAATTTATTTTCTTTTATTTTATCAGGTTCTCTGTAACAACAATCTTCATAACGATTTTGATTATATTTACATTTATATATTTCTTTTAATTAATATTTAAAGTTAAAAACAATAAAAAAATATAAAAAATGAATTTCATTTTTCTTTTTTTTTTTAATAAATATTAAACCACAATGTTTCTTTTTATATCTATCAAGATTATATAATCACATATTTAACAACTATAAATATTTTATTTTTTTTTTTGTTCTTTTAAAATAATCATTATCTTTTAATATGAGGTAATTTTTCTTTTCTTTTTTTTTTATCTAAC